CAATGTATGTTTGTGTATGTGTGTGTGTGTTTGCGTGAACACGCGTGCAGAGACCACAGGCAGTTACAACGAAAGAACAGGCGCACGCCATGATCGTAAATAACCTAAAGCTCCCCGAGGCGACGCGTCGGGAATAATAATAATAATAATAATATGCAACGATTATGCGCGCATAGATCAGGTTTATATTTACTCTGCCGATAGGCTTTCGTCCGTAGGATTTATTGTCCCCCGGCCGGAGGAAGATATTATCCTACGTGTTAACTTAATTTCTGTTTCCGTAAATTATCTTAAACGTTACGCTGATTTATATCTTTGGTTCTTTTGTCCATGAACGTTTATTATAATCCCTTTAAACATAGGAAGTATTAGGGTATAATGTTTTTAGCCCGCTGTTATATTATTTATAACAATTTGTATAACTTCGATAAGAAATTCGATATAGAACTTTTTGTTATATTATTACGAGAAAGTTACGTATCTTTTCTTCTCTTCTTCGAAATGAAAATAAATCTACGATCTACCCTTTTTGGTTAATGCCGATCATGCCATTTTACTACTTTGGAAGTTCCCTTCATGCCCGACTGATCGCGTAGATCGATAATCTTTTCTTTCCCGGTTTGGATCTACTTTTTTTTTCAGAATGACCGAGGACAACCACTTCGATAGCTGTTTCACGCTGCGATACTTCCGTTTGATCTTAACAGAGAACCAAGTGTAGTTAATCCTTTGAATTTATCGAGATCATTTCATTATGTAATATGGCAAACGAACCATGTGCTATTGTTTTATTATTCTTTTGATATTTTAAATTTAATCAATTAATCAAAGTATATATTTAACAAGACAAATAATATATATATATATATATATATCCTAGAAAACTTATGATTATTACACAAACATTTTTCTTCGTTGTAATATTTATTTATTTACTTACGGTAATATTCTAACTGGATGGACAATTATTTTCATCGAAAAAGAAAAAAATTAAATCATTACCCGTTAAGAGAAAGAGAGAGAGAGAGAGAGAGAAATCATAATCATAAACAGTTTTCTCTAAGCATAACGGGGCATTACATTTTCTTAAGTTTAAAACGCATAACGTTTATTAGACTTATTACTAACGGGAAATCCAAGTAATAATTGACTAATCTGTACAAACAAGAAAAAAAAAAAAAGAAAAAAAAAAAAAGAAAAAAAAAAAAAGTTAACCACACATTTTACATGCCGAATGAAATTGCATTGGTAATAGGCCCATAAGATAGAACATCTGTTGAATAACTTGTGTNAGAGAGAGAGAGAAATCATAATCATAAACAGTTTTCTCTAAGCATAACGGGGCATTACATTTTCTTAAGTTTAAAACGCATAACGTTTATTAGACAAAGGGAAAGATGGAATAAGAAGAAACGTTCGCATATAATATACGTAAAAAAAAAAAAAAAAAAAAAAAAAAAAAAAAAAAAAGAAAAAAAAAAAAAGTTAACCACACATTTTACATGCCGAATGAAATTGCATTGGTAATAGGCCCATAAGATAGAACATCTGTTGAATAACTTGTGTATCTGAAAAGCAGGTAATATTACATGTTGCAATTAATGTAACATGAAAATTTATATTATATGATCTGATTAATAATATCAATCAACGGAGAAAACAGTCGCATTATTAAAACTATTCCGTCCCATAAAAAGAACACTTAAGCTTAAAGTATTCAGTACTCAAAAGGGTTAACAATTTGCTTAGGAAAAAAAAAGAGAAAAAGGAAATGTTCGAATCATTATTAATCGTAACTCTTCGTAGATAATATTTCGAGATGAAACAACAGATTAATAAATCTTATGGAAAAGTCGTGTTTCAACGAATGATGAAGAGAACTAGTAACATAGAAGAAGAAGATGAAGATGAAGAATAAGAATAAGAAACGGAAGGAGGATGACGAAGAGAGGATGGTTGATGATAGCGCGTCGAAATGCGCCTAAGTTTCGAGTAGTCGAGCCCTAAAGGTATAACCCAGCCTCCGACACCAAACGGCGGAAGCGACGATTTTAAGTGCGGGCTGAAAGACATATTTCTGGCCGCGGTCTATATTTATCCTATGGTGTGTGTGCACCTATGCGCAGGGAAACCGCTGAGCGATTTACGCGTCTGGAACTCCCGGCATTCCTCGCGACTTTCTTTGTGCTTCTTCCCGAGGGAAGAAGAAGAAGAAGAAGAAGAAGAACACCACACCACACCGCTCTTCGTTCGTTCGTTCGTTCATTCGTTCCATCGTTTCTTCGTTTAAAACCACCATCACGAATAAGAGACCCCCCTTGCGTGTCATCTTCTTCTCCTTTTTCTCCTAGTCTCGTCGCGCGTAGCGACTTTGGAATTTTCCCCCGAGTATTCCCTTCCCACCCCCTGACCCTTGTCCCGTTCCTCGAGCAACCACCTACGGCAGACGACTACTGGCCAACTGACAATGACACTGCGAATCTCGTTACTTTTTTTATTTTATGCACCTTTCTGTGTGTGTTTTCGTAGAAATAAAATTTGTATCTAGGATTATTCTCTTCAATGCTTTTCCAACGTAATCCTGATTAAATTTATATGTTGTATCATTCATTTCCATGGAGGATAATCCATGTTCCCTTAAACTTACGCGAATCATTTAGAAATCCTTCTTATTATAATGAACTTTAATACACGTTAGTCTTGGTCGTCCTTATCATAAAACACGAAGACACGATCAGTGATTTCTCTTCTTCTTCTTCTTTCTGTTTCTTTTGGTAAAAGATACCTTTTTGAAATTTGGACTATGTGGCCGACAGCCAGAGATTTCCACGAGTTTAGAGTTATAAACGCGGTATTCGCCTTAGTGTCGGCGCATCTCGTCAGCTAATAGCAATAAGCAAGCAGATCATAGGCGCCGCAAACCTTAATGTGGCACCCACCACTCAGCGAGCATCGCTCGTTACCATTTATATCGTCTCAACGGAAACTACGAGAGTGCGAGCAACGACGATCATTATCGTTGTCTGCTCGTGGAACTTCCTCTCTTCGAAAAAGGGTGGGGGTGGTTTGTAGGGGGCTTTAGGGAACTCGTCGCGTCACAGTCTACGAATAATTAGCTTCAAGGGACAAGAGAAACGAGGCCACCAATCGCGTTTCGATTTGTCTTTTTCTTTCTTTCTTTCTTTTTCTTTACCGAAATATTTTCCAACTTGTATTATATCTTCTTCTTCTGATATATCACATTTTTTTTCTTAATACATTTTTTGTAGGCTTGTAACTACAAATCGAAAGTTAATTTTAACATGAGAGTATTCGTGTTAGATAGATAGACACAAAAAAAGGTACAATCGAGTACGAATGATATCGATATTCGAAAGGGTGGCAAAAGAAAATTTGAAATAATTAAATAATAAAATAAAATAAACGATGAATTTTGGTTACAACGAAGCATACGAGATGCATATTCGAATGCACCGAAAGACGATAAAAAAAATCAATAACTATTAAAGATTTTATTTAGCGTATAAAATTTTTAATCGAAATAAAATGATATCAACGATATATTATAATACAATATAACGATGATTATCAATAATAATGATAAAGAAAAAGTCACGTACAATTAAATCAAATTATACAATTTAGACGTATTTATTTGATTTCAATATAAAACAACATTCAAATTTCTGATAATTATCGATTAACACATTAATAATAAATTTTTGTACGATGTAAGTGACGAAAGGGGAGGAAAAGAAAATGGTGTTTAAATAGAATAAAAAGATTAACGTTGGAGGGTGGAAAAGGATAAACGTACACGCACGTGGCGAATGAACGAACGTCGATCGTACGTGTCCTTTTATTTTGGCGCCACCTGTGCACGTTGAGAAATACATTGACATGTATATGTATCTATCTATATATATACACATGTATATGTGTGTATATATATATATATATACATAATATGTTTTACAGGAGCGTGCGCGAGAAAACGAACGGCGCGCCACGAGGTCGTATATGCCGTCAGTTCTATTCGTCGTCGCAGTGCGATACGGTCGATAGCATAAACGGGAACGGTTTGCCATAGTGGTTCCTTTCCTTAGAGAATACTACGTGCCCTCCTCTTCCTCTTCCTCCTACCCCTTTTCCTCCTTCTTCTATTAATTCTCTTCCTCCCTCTCAAACCCTTTCCTCGATCCCACTTTTTTCTTTCCAGTGGAAAGTATACCTAATACGTAATTCCACCCCCTCCATACACACACACACACACACACACAGATACATATATACTTACGTATACACCCTTTCAGCGCCATAGAGAAAAAGGAACGGAAACGTTCAGCGTCCATTTCATTGCGGGATGTCGCCGACGAAAGACCTCATTGCATTCAATAATTTTAACATTCAAAATGATCGTGTCAATTATTATTAGTTTTCTCAATCGCGAATGAATATATATATATATATATATTCATGGGAATTGTGAATTATATCAATTGTTTATCAATTATTTTCTCTATCTTTCTCTCTCTCTCTCTCTCGTGATTTAAAAAAATAATAATCAATCTCGAATGAGAAGAACAGAAGAATGTATTTATTGGAATAGAGAAAAAATTAAAAAAGAAAGATAAGGGCTGGTTGTGCACTTGCGTGGAATCTGTAATGTGCGAGGGAATATCAAGTACGAATATCGTAGTTCTACGTAAACGATTGAACGGGAGTAGTTAACACGTGTTACTCCCTGTGGTTCTTCGCACGATAAAACAAGCAAACAAAAAAATAGAAAAGAAGATAGATATATGTACGAACGGGTGGGTGATCACGCCCCTTTCATTACTAACTAACTGGACAAACGGACAACGAAGAACGCTTCGTTCATAATCGTTCGAACAATATAAGAAAACAAAGGGAAACGTATAAAAAAAAAAACTCAAGTATATAATATATCCATCATTCGTTTAGAAAATATAGTAATATTATATTATCGAAATGATATTGATAATAATAAAAAATAGAAAAAAGGAAAAAGAAGAAGAAGAAGAAGAAGAACAAAGGGAAAATACAATTGAAAGATAGAAAATAGTAGCAACAAGTAGGAGGAGGGTTCGACAAAATCAAAGAAGGGGTGAGACGACAGGTATTTGGATATAATAGTGGCGGGGTTGGTGGTGTCACGAATCAAAGTGTTTGTCCAAGTCCAAGCGGGAAATTTGGAAAATCAAAGGTCATAGTGTTGTAATCGCATCGTCATCGTTCTCCTCCTCCCCCGATTGTCCATAGTTGTCATAGTGGTCGTCGTATGTTTAATTTCGCGTTCTGGGAGAAGAGAAAACCGACTAGTGGTTATCGATTGGTCTGCGACTTCAAGAGGATGCACCCTTCCGAGTTTAACCTCGCAGTCACGTGCCAAGAGGTGGTGCTGAGGATTTGAACGAGCGCATAGGGGGTGGCAAGCAAGCAAGCTAGCAAACCTTGCTAACGTTTAAACGAAAAGGGTGGAAAGCAGAAAGCCGGCTTTTCCCGGTACGCCGTCAAACCGTTGACGTCGTCCCCATCGTCGTTGTGGAAAATCGATTGGGTACTCGGCGTACCCCATTCCCCCTCTGCTGCAACCACTCTCCATCTAGTGCAATGACCTCCAAACCAGGAAGATCCTACAGCGTCAGGTAAGGACCGTGATGATAAACCGATGATAATGATGACCACTGTCCGACAAATTACAACAAACAACCCTTTTTTTTTTATTTTTTTTTTTTATTCTTTTTCATTATCATTTCATTAAAAATCCTACGCCGAATTCGAGAGACGATTATTGTTTCTTTTTTTTATTATTCCATCGTTTTCGTTCCTTTCAATGTATCGTTTTACAATTCTTAATCTTGAAGGTGGTACTTCGTTTTGTTTTTTTGTATATATTCGCGTATTTAACGAAAATATAGATAAATATATTATATTGTAATATGTTGAAAAAGAAATACGCGTGGACTATTTATTTTAATCGGATTCGTCCTATTTGTTGTTAATGAATCATTTCAAAGTAATCGATCAAATGATGGTTTGTAATTATTCAGCTGTTAAAATAAAAGATTTATGATTCGACCGATTACTCATGATAAATAATATATTCTTTGTTCTTTAAAAAGTGCTGTAGATACACAATCGTTACGTTTATTAATGACGAAAAAAAAACAAATAATTTATTATTAACAAAGAAAAAGAAGAAAAATATAATAAAATGTATCTCGGGCAAGGCCGTTCTTTTAAAAATTGATGTTAAATAATGGGTTGAAAAGTTTAAGTTTTAAAAGAAGAAACAGATGATTTCTTGTTTTACTGTTCGACGAGAAACTAACTCGAATCTTTCTACGCATTTTTCCACCCACGTCGCTGAACTCTTGACCCCAGTCACAGCGACTTTATTCTAAGAACTGAGCGTGTGCCGGTGGTACCGATACGCGGAATCTTTTAAATCCGTTCGTTCGTTCGTTCTAAAAAAGAAAACAGAAAAAAAAAGAAAAAGAATAAAGAGAGGAAAAAATAAAGATAAGAAAGGAAAAAAGAAAAGGGATCGAGTTTACGAAGTAGAGAAATAAGAGATAAAGAATGAACACGAGCGTGTAATTATTATTTCGGTGAGTGAGTCCTTTGTTGTAAAACGCACTAATGTATCCCATAATTTCTCGTGATCGTTCTTTACCCTCTCTCTCTCTTTCTCTTTTTCAACACGATGGCTATTTTTGTCTAGAGCAACGTACGAAAAAGAAGCCACTTGATCGATAATCGTTAATTAAAATCTTCAGTTGCACCGTATCTCAAACTGGAGACACAAATATATCTCGGTATGACTGTTTTGTTAAAGGGTCAGGGTAAATAAGATATAGCGTTCGAGTGCACTCATTTCTTCGACGAGATACATTTTATATATATATATATATATGTGTATATAATATGAAACCAGTACACATATTTACTCCTCCTACTAAATTTCTGCTGACCTATTTTTCATGAAAAGTATAAAAGAATTCCAAGGAATGGTGGTGGGTGGTGGTGTACGGGACGTTTAAACTCGTTCGATTATTTTTTATCGTTGCTTTCTTCTGCTCGAAACATAACATTGCCAACAACTGTTTTTTCTTGTTTTTCTTTTTTCTTATATCGATCATACTAAAATCCATAAATTATCTGCATAATAACGTGATCAAATGCATAACGCAAAAGTGTGTCAAGTTGTTGGAATCAAAGGAAGAATGATAAATACATTTCTGACAACGTTATAAATATAAAAGAACAAATATATATTAAATAATAGAAAGAATAATTAATACAAAATATAAGGGTGTTTCATTAAAATTTATTTTCGATCAAAGTATCCACATTTTAAACAGGCGTTGTCTGTGGAATCAAAAGTTATTCGTAAATATGATCAACAAATTTCTGACAACGTTATATTATCATTTATTCAATTTCGAACTAAAGTGGACATTAATTTTTGGACACGGTCTGTCTGTAGATATTTATTTTCAAGAAAAATAATAACTTAGGTATATAACTATAAGGAGAAGGAGGAGGAGGGGGAGGGGGAGGAGGAGGAGGATAATATTATTTTGAAGCCGCGAGGCTCGATCATTTGCGATCGGTTCGTACCTTTTCTCACGATAAAAGCGCGAGAACGAGAGATGAATTTTTAAGGCTGCACCCAGTTCCTTGCGAAAGCTTGTTCTTTCGAAGAAAGCCGTCGTATTAAGGTCCGAAGGGATCGTCTTGTCGGTTATGTCGGAATGGCCGATGGCTAGACAACGATTCTATCGAACGGTGTTCCTTACTTTCGTCATTATCGCTGCATCATGCTCCAATCTTGAGAAAGAGAGTTAGTTGTTCGTTGTTTATAGGGTGAAAGGCGAATCGTGAGAATGATAATTCCTTCCTATTTCTTTTTTTAACATAAAAAAAAGAAGAATACGATCACATAGTAGTAGTAGTAGTAGTAGTAGACAAAAAATCGACAAATCGTATTCCATTAATTGAACAATAAAAAAATTGTCGATCATTCCTCATCGATGTCACATCGCGGAAGTTAGGATTTATGCAACGACCATGGCCTTGAACTTGCTCAAGGCCTTTTCCCAAGCGCGTAGACCGGTACAAAAGTTTACGAGCGTGTTACTCCATTCCTTTACCCAACACTTTATGCACATGCGATACCAACAAGAACATTTCTTTTCTTTTCTTTTTCTTTTTTTTTTTTTTATCTACCATTATATTATTACCTCTCGCGTTGTTTTCGTTCATAACAGTTTTGAAACGTAAAATACTGCGGGCTTTTAAATCGATCGGCTTAATAAATTGACTTTTCTACCAGGTAGTGCATTCGTTTGTTCGTGTATGGAAATTTTATGAATTTATTTTCATTAATCGGAACGTTTTTTTCTTCTTGGAATTTGTTATACTTTTTTTTTTTGTATTTATAGAAGAAATTGTTTTACCTTCGAGGACCCTTCTTTTTTTTTTTCTTTTTCTCTCTCTCTCTCTCTCTCTCTGGAAATTTCTAGCACTAAATTATTATTATTATTATTATTATTATTATTATTATTATTATTATTTGTATCAACTTGCAATAAAAAGATAATTCGCTCATACGAGTATAATAGTTAGCTCGTTAAAATGGACGATACATGTTTCAGTACCACACCTTCATCGATACTTCTTATATCATCCTGCATCTTCAGATATTTATGACACGAAAAAAGCTATCTCATAAGCGAGTCTCGGTGTTTCGATAAGCCGAGTAACGTTCCCCGGTAGAATTCGAAAAAAAAAAACCTCGAGAAAGCTATTTATGGGAACACGAAAAAAAAAGATAAGATATCTTTGTAATATAGTTTACTTTTGCGTTTCTTTTTCTATTTTATTTCTACTCCTTATTCTTTTTTTTTCAAGCTATCTTCGATCGATTTATATTACAGTATATTATTCAGTTAAAAATTGTAGTTTTTTTTTTTTTTTGTTGAAATATTATATTATATTATTTTGTTATATATTTAAGAATAAAACGAGGATACGCGATAACAATCTGGAATGTGTACATTCAGCACGCTCAATATTTAAAACTGCTCGGCCGTTTCGTTTGACCCTAAAACTGATACGCCTATCGTAAGACGACTCGCTCTATTTTAATATTCTTACGTGTGAAACATGATAATGCAAGAAATTACCATTAAAACCCATACAAAGTTCAATTTACAATGGAACTTTTATTTTTACGAAATAATAATAAAAAGATGAAAAAGAACTTTTTCTTTTTTTTTTTTTTTTTTTTTTTTTTCGAACGCGTACGAATTTTCGTAATAATAAAAACCAATTGTTGTTGAATTTATTTAAACGTTGTCTAATTAATAATTATTGTACTTGATTTACAGATTTAAACAAAAAATATATTAATTTTATTTATTTTTCTATATCTCTCTTTCCATTCAATTATTATTTTATATTAAAATATTGCAAAAATGATAGGTCTTGATCTTTCGTATAAAGAAAAAAAAAAGAAAAACAATTAAAACGTTGTTTGAATAATAAAAAAAGAATTGGAGAGATAGAACATTCAAACAGCACGACGTTCGAATATATTTCAAAATCGATTTAATCGAACAACGCACGTGTTTTGATATCTGATCGATTTTTTACTTTATCGTTACACGAATGTGATATTTATTTTTAGATGAGTCAACGTAGATGAACAATTAGAATAACGTCATTTCTGGGTTAAATGTTATCGCGAAGGTTCTAACGAAAATTTTGTTCGATTATATTTTCGCGATAAGCCACGTGTTATTGGCCACACCTTTATGGATAAATCAAACGATGATCAATGTTTAGGGCGTGCCGTACGTGTTTTCACGTAAAAGATATTATTTTTTTCTTCTTTTTCTTTTTCTTTTTTATTTCACGAAGGTCAGAGATTTCTTTCGATGAATTCGAAAAAAAAAAACAACACACATATTTTAATACTTTTATACCGTAGAAATCGTCGTTAACTATGAATAAATTCGTACGATCGTGTATAAAAATAAACTCGTAGTTTATGCAGCCGTTTGTATGCAAATAAACGATATCTTCTTCATTTTTTTTTTTTTTTCATATATTATATCAAATCAATATTCGACTTACACTAAATTCGAACGATAATATCGGAAGTATCGAATGAAATAGAAATACGAAATTCGGGACGCATTTAAAGTAGTTTATTTTTCTATTTTCTAACAAAAATATTCGCGTTTAACGAGTGTGTTTGTGTTAACTATGAAATTAAAACAATTCTCGCAATAATTTCTTCGATCTTTTTTTTTTAGAAAATGTTCTCTCCTCTCTCACTTTATCTTTACGGTTGTATTAGATATCATTTAATAGGAATTCGAAGTATTCTAATAAAATATTTGTTTTATAAATACACTTTTGTGACCTTACGATGATTTTTGACGAGAATATATTTAAACGAGTCCTGATAAAAATTCGATTGAAACATTTAAGAAATGTTACAGAAACGTTTCTCTTATCGTTGTATCGTTAAATAAATCCTCGAACGAGGCTCCTTGTTAGAATAAATTACTCGACAATAGAATAGTTACGTAACAACTTGACTAATTATCGGTCATTAGGCGAAACCGGTGGC